ACTTTTATTTTTAAATGTATGCAGTATATAATGCTTTTGTGTTTTATTATTTTCATGCAATTACAGTGCTTGTGACAGAAACTGGACAGGCCCTGCTGCAGGATTAAAGCTGCTGTTTAAGCACGCAGCATATGAAGTGGCAGCGCAAACTTTTTAGGGGAGTCAGTACATTTTCACCCTGAACTCCAAAGGGAATAGTAACTTGCTTACATACACAAAATATTCCAGAAAAGCTGTGTATTTAAAATACGATGGCTTTTTCTGAAATTGCTTCATGTTTTGGAGTCTGAGGAGGTACATCACGGTGAATAGCCTTCTCAAGCTTTAGCCTCTGAGACAGCTCAGGAGCTACTAACACCACTGTCATTTGTGAGTCACAGTAGTTTTGTCACCTAAAATCTGTGTGTGACTGGCAACATTTCAGGGGTAAGGGAGCACCACTTCTGACAGCTCTTGTGAATCAACTCTTGAGTAACAGGACGTTGGCAAGTGTAGGAGATGGCTCACGCTGAGCAGAAAGATCCTCTGTTCCCACTATTTTCGAGACCCAGCATGGAAGTAGAGCCCAGAGCAAGAGACGGAGCGACTGAGGGCACTCACCAGCTTAGCACTGAGCTCTTCCAGAAACTGGCTGTATCTATTAAAAAGGAGAGCACAGGGGGCACAGAAGGCAGGCGCTGAAGGACCTGGGGAAAAGCCAATACTACATCTGGGGCCCAAGATCCTCTTCCTTCTGATCATCTGCTGAGAGCCCAGCTTTCTCTCTCTTTGGAGCAGAGCAGGACAGCAGTAGGGAAGGTTTGTAGTATCTGTACTGAGGCAGAGGATGTCAGAAGTACTGTGCTACAGTCTGAGGCAGAGGGGGTTTACTGGGTTAGGAAAGTAGTACCAAAACCCAGTGCCTTCCCTCCAGCATATGTAGTACAGATTTTTTTAAAAATAGTATTTTGTTTCTTCGTATAATGTCACACAACACACTGTGGGACTCAGACAGATAATAGAATTTCACCTCTGATTTTTCCCTCATTTTTGAGATAATATTTGATTAGACAAGTGAAAAGCTCTTAACTCCAAGAAAAAAGTAAAAATTTTAAACAGGAAGTAAAAACTGACAGCACTGCTTTCTGCATGTCTATACCTATTTATCTACAGCCATACACTCCAAGCATGCTCAGGAACAATCTTTGGCACTGAAATGAAGTTGTTTCTACTGGGACATTGCCAGAATTTTTCCCAACCCAGATTTGGCTCTCATCAAGTACCATTCCCGCAAGCCTTTCCCAGCCCCTGGCAGTGGGGAGGGACTGTTCCCAGCAGACAGTTTGCACAGGGCCGTCCCATGTTGGGAGCTGAGCGAGTTCACCAGCATTGGCACGGCAGTTCCCTGCCAGCTGGCCTTGGCGGAGCATTGAATTTACTGGTATTGATGAAGCCTTCCTACCCTGAACAGTCTAGTCTCTTAGATACATTGCATACATTCAGGATGCTTCTCAAAACAAGACTTTAGATTATTATCTTGTTTCAGTCTCGGGACTTCCCCCGTTGTCTGAAAGAACAACTTCTAGATCCGTCCTAGATCTGTCTCGCAGGAAATGCAGTGCCCTCAACTAGCAGTGCCGAAATAGCCTATTTCAACGCTGTGTGGAAACACATGGCCAAAGGAACCTCAGCGGGCAACAAGCTCTGCCCACAGCAGTTCACAAACTAACTGACGAAATGCAGGACTTCGTGGTTACAGAAACTGGCAGTAACGGTTTATTGACAGGAAAACTGGCTTTCCTGAATTGTACTGTTCTGTGGTGCAGAGTTAGGAAAACAGGGCAATTAAAACCTAGGCCTGTTTTGCACAGTTTGTAATTAGCCAGCTCTGGAATAGTTCGGTTTGACTGTGGTTTGTTGGAGTATCCCACTGAAAATACTCATTACAGGGGAAGCAGTGGTTTTGTGAGGAATATAAACTTCCCATAGCTCCGATCAGGTACTAGGCCTCACTCCCATGGCTGGGCCCACACCGCTGAGGCTTGGTCGAGGGCCCGGTGTCGGCGTTTCCTCACGATGGGGTCA